CAGGGCTTCCCACCAATCAGAGAGGGAGCGCGCGGTGAGCGAGCCAATCACGAGCGAGAACGGCGCCGCCGAGCCGAGCGGAACCGAGAGGAACCGAGCCTGGCCCGGCGGCCCGAGCCGAGCTGAGTCGAGTGGAGCCGAATGGGCCGAGTCCAGCCGTGCCGAGCCGAGCCGGCGCAGTCAGGTGCCGTCATTTATTATGCAAGGTTCATTAAATGGTATTACAAGATTTCACACATTCCCGTGCAGTGCTGACCGTGACACGACATTTGAAACTGCAATCAGCCAGAGATACCATCAGACGAGGGATGTGTCAGGGCTTTTCCCTCCAGCAGGGCTACACTGACACACTGACTCACGATAACTGTGTTCCACGTAGAAGGGGTGTTTCCTCGAGCCCTTTATACTTTATTTTTTAAAATGTATTATTATGATTGATCTGTCAGCGCCCCAGGCAAGATGAGGCCCCTGTGCTCAGCAGCCTGCCAGTGCCCCAGAATGGGGATGGCCCTGCACAGCCCGCTGTGCCCAGGGTGGGTTCATTAACCTGTCCAGGGACTCGAGACAGCAGCGTGTCAGAGTCAGATCCCTTATCTCAGTCTGGAAAGAAAGACCCCCCTCCTGGATCTCCCATGTTCTTATATGTTATTAATTCTGATATTTTTATCCACTGCCATTGTCTGCCAGCAACCTTGAAGGACTCAGGCTGAACAGTTTAAGCATAAACACACTTTATTAACAAATACACTGATCACAGTACACTCACAGAGTCTGGGCAGAGATTGTCACTGACAGTGCACTGACTGCAGGAACAAGTTTGAAGGCTCTGATCATCAGTGAAAGTTTGAGATAATCAACAGAGTGCACAGAATAGGGATCTTACCCAACAGGTGTCCCCACGGGGGAAACGCCAGGATCAACCCATCAATGGATCCCAGAAGTTATGTGGAGCCTTTCCTAACTTGTCCCCCTCTTAACTCACTGTTACACTATTTCTTTACACTTAGGTGAAATTTTAGTGGCTCTAGTCAAACATAATTTTGTTCTCAATTGGTGTAAAACTTCCTCACTTTGCTCTCAAAGATATAATTAATAAAATAGAGAGCGTGTGCTCAGGGAGGGGTGGTCACACTTTGGAGGTGGGAAACTTTGGGACGGAGGTGTGTGATTTCATTACATAGAGAATATAAAGGGCGGTGTTAATCTGAGGAGAGTTAATCTATTTCCCCACAGCTGCTGATTCAGGAACAGGTCATCTCCTCTATGCTGTGCTCAGCAGCTGCTGTGTGGTTTGTCAACTACAAGGTACCACCAAGCTCCCATTCCTGCAGGGATCACAGCCTGGCTGCAGGGTCTCCATCCTGCTCCACCTGTTTCATCCCTACTTAGCATCTGCTTCAGGCTGCAAGGGGGTGTTGAATGGGGAACTATCATGGAATGAATTCTGTGCTTGCCAACTGCATTGCCTCCTGAAAATAGCAACTGCATTTTACCCTAAAATTTCTTAAAGTTACAGCTTCTGTTGGAATGTGACTATAAGTTTAGCCTCAAGATTTTTCCCCAGATGTCTCTAATTTTCCCCTATTTTCCCACTTAATCAACCCCATGACTGTAGTCACTCAAGCTTCCCAATATCCAGATGGAGTTCAAGAGCGTTTCATGCATTTGCATTGCATGGATTATCTGATGTTTGTAGGGGCGGCCAATAGGCTAATTGCCTCATAATAATACAAACTTTAACATATAATACCTTTATCAAGACAAGAAGCAAAAGGGTGATCATCTAAAGAGGGCATCCCACCACCAGTGTTCTTACACTTTCAAGCATCTTTCTTGACTGGTTCCAAAACATGATGTATTTCCTCCACATTGTGACAGACAAGGACCAGAGTCCTTTGTCCATTTTCTTGAGCTTGTTTCAGCAATTGTTTTAAGTCTTCATGTTGTAGCAGTTTCCTGCTCAAGGTGAGCTTCATTTCAATAGGGGTGACAGCAGGTCTTGAATCAACATTTAGTTAAACCATGACAATTGGTAAGATGTGACAGGACCTGAGTAAATAAAACCATGCCCTGTAATTTCAATGAACTTACAAACATTTGAGTGATTACTTGTATCTACACTAACATTACTTGTATCTAGGAGTTATCACGGAATCACAAAGACTTCTCATGCCTCTGACACCAACATGTACAATTAACAAAGCCTCTTTTAACAATGCCTCTTTTTTCCAAATATGTCACCACCCTATCAGAGGGTATTGCTTTACATTAGTCATTTGGGAAGAATGCAGTGGTGTTGATGATTGATTTTTTCGTAGTCTGACTTGCCCCACATTTTTTCAGATTCTGTTTGTATCCCTGGCAAACCAGAGCCTCTCACTCTGTAAAGTTCCATCCACGAGTTTCCAGGTTTTTCCACAAAGTAAATCAAATGCTAAAACGTTTGTTTGGACAGCCTTCACAAGCACTTTCAGCCCTAGTTAACCATATATCCCCCAGAGGCCAGACAGAGGCTTTTGCTGTAGAACATGCCTTTATTATCCCATCAATTGATGTAAATTTATGGCAACTAGGTATCATTCTAAGAAATATCTTCTGTTTTCCTTATAATCACTTACACTTGAGCTCCTGCACAAATTAAAAATTCAGCCATAATTTTTTGAGGACCAACTTTGAGGAACATTATTTGAAAGTTTTGGGGGATTTACTTGTGAGCCACTTACTGCTAATATGCATAGGGCAGGGTGGCTCATTGCCCTCCCCAGGAATGTGGGGGGTTTGCCATGGATTCTCCCAAATTAAGTCCTATTTTGCTGAGGAAGGCACATGCTCTTTCTGATGCAAAAACTTTGCTGAGTTTGTTTTTCCTCATTCCTGCTGTTTTTTCTCACCACACTTAAAGACTGAACCAGCTTATGGATGCCATCCCTGGAGGCACTATGTAACCAGCACTTAGGTACCCCCAACTCTCAGGCCTGATGCCACAGGTCACACATTTTTTTATCAAATTTGGGTCTCTCATCAGACCTTTCATTAAATCTAGACTGTGGGGTGTTAAGCTGGCTCACTCGCCATGCATGGTCCATCAGCTTCTCCACAGAGGAACTGATCCAGCCTGTTCAGTGCCTGTATCCCACCAGTCCTTACACAATCTGGTGTGAGGAGGTTACAGGGCTTTGCTGGCCTGGACCACAACCGGTGTTTGCATTATTCAGAGCATAAGCAGCTTGCAAGCAGTCTTGGACCTTGGCAGCAAACGTCTTAAGAGTAGCCAGGAGGCCTTGGATGAGAGGAGTTAACCAGGCTGGGTCAGTGGGAGCTGGCACGGGAGATTTCCTGCTGGTGTGTCTGTCATACGTGGCCTGTATTGCAGGCTGCCTTCTGCACGGAGGCTGCCAAGGCAGAGCTGCCCGCAGTTTGAATTACCAGCAGGTCTCCTCTGTCCTGAGGCTTGGCACTGCCGGCTCCATGCACAGCCCATGCAGTTCAGAAGTAATCATGATCTCCCAGCGGGATAGTGAGGGATACTCCTGGTCCCCAATAGTCCCATGCTTCCTCCTCATTCAACAAAATCCTGTTGTCCCTGTTGAGGGACACTTGCCACACACACTCAACTT